TCAAGTACACAAAATCTTCTTACAATCACTCATATCTAAGTGGACCAAATGTGCCACAACATTTTCTTTCTACTTGAGTAAAATAAATTCACTCGTAAAGAATATTTTATATCTCAAATGAGCCAATTCTATTTGGACATTCTCTTTACTCTAGCGAGCAATATCCACTTGAGAGAATTGTGCCCTTTTAATGGATCAAATCCACTAGTATTTTCTCTGCACAAGCAAATCATATTTGTTCAAGCATTATTCATGTCTAAGCACTCTAAATATTTAAACTTTTTCGAGGCAATTAGAATTGCTTTTCTATATGTTTTGATCATTTCTAAACACTAGAAAACAGTTGAGTGCTTGATGAAATTCGTCCAATCATTTAACCCTTAGATTGAATAGTATGCATTTGCATATCTAATTTGAATCAATACTCCTAACTAGCTACTGAATCAAGTTCTTAGACTTAGGATTGAATTATTGTTTCAATTGATATATATCATCATCAATGTTTGCTCATTTTAAGACAATAATTAACATGTCATAATCTAATCACATGTGATTGATTAAGAGATCCTAATAATCTAAAAACAAGATACATTAGCAATTTTAAATAAATAAATGAATATATTTAGATCATATATAAGATCACCCTTTGTAAAAATAAAACTTTTGCAAAATTATTTAAAATTTTTTTATATAATTATGTAAATTGATCAAATCTATTTTTCAAATTATTAAAAAAAAAAACCTTATTCTAAGACTATTTTTTTCAAAATCAACAAGTAGGAAGGTGAAAGTCTTACTCTAATTAAGACTTTGAGATAAAATCAAACCTGTAGAACTAGTATCACACAGATGGTATGACCCCCAATGACCCATTAAATTTGCTCAAATTAAGATTTTATAATAAACAAAAATTTACTTTTTGAACTAATTAGACTTATGTGCACTAAGTTAGAGATATGCATAAATTATTTAAGTGGTATATAAATGCTTAATATTTATTTATATACTGATTTTTAAAATTGGAATTTTTATTAACATGAATGATTTCTAAAAAGCTAATTAAAATTTGAGTCAGCTCTGTTACTTGAACCTAAAATTTTAATTAAAAAGATGATATTAAAAACCAAATTAAATATAATAAGAATAAAAATGCAAAAATAGCTGTGAAAGAACTAAGATTTACATACATACCACCCAGTTCCTATTTATAGATCTAACACCTAAACGTCCATTTTTATCTATACATGTGTATTTCAGTTTTTAAAACTACTGCTATTTTTATAGACATTTGAGTTGTACGAACATAAAAAAGAAAAATTTAGTTGTTTTTTTTGTACAAATACATAGAATTTGGGTGGTATGCATGTAAATGGCCGAAAGAAAAGTTATTCAATGTCAAATAGAAATAAGGTATAAAAATATTTACATTCCTTACGCTTGTACAATAAAAGATGAAAAAAATGTAACAAACAACAATAGCAAAGCCTTAATCCCACTACGTGGGGTCGGCTACTTGAGTCCTTTTTCTCCGTTGCGTCCTATTTAGTGTCATATTTTTATTTAGTTCTAGTAAATTAAGATCATTTTTAATACAATAAGCCCAAGTCTTCCTAGGTCTACCTCTGCCTTTCTTAACACAAGTCAAATCTAAAACATCTACTCTTAATCGGATCATCAGATGGTCGACGTTTAATGTGACCAAATCATCTAAGACGACTTTCTCTAATTTTGCCTGTCACAGGAGCTACACCAACCCTATCACGAATATATTCATTCCGCATTTTGTCTCTAAGTGTAAAGCCACTCATCCACCTAATCATTCTCATCTCGGCAACACTTAACTTATTATTATGCTTCTCTTTTAAAGGCCAACATTCAGCGCCATAGAGCATTGCAGGTCTCACCACCATCTTATAAAATTTTCCTTTCAGTCTTAGCGGTACTTTTCTATCACACAAAAGACCCGAAGCATTCCTCCACTTCAACCAACCAACTTGAATTCTAC